CAAGTCAGGAATTGTAATGCTTCCTGTCTTGTCTATGTTGGCTGGAATTGCTTTTCCGATTTTAGGTCCTTTCTGGTTCCAGATAAATTTGAGGAATGATTTCTCTAGATCTAGGTAGTATGTTTTTGGCAGTTTGATATGAATTGAAATAAATCTGTTCAGGAATTTTGGGAGTGTGTTCATGTTCACAATGTTGGTTCTTCCTACCCAGGAGCATGGAATATCTTTCTATTTTCTGAAATCCTCTATGATCTCTTTTTTCAGAATACTATGATTTTCCTTTAGTAGAACTTTGACTTCTTCAGTTAGATGAATTCCAAGTTATTTCATTTTCCTCATTTGTACTGTAAAAGGTATTGTTTCTCTAATTTCTCTCTCTGTATTTGTTATCTGTGTAGAGGAATGTTATTGACTTTTGGGTATTGACTTTGTATCCTGCTATGCTACTGAATTTGTGTATCAATTCTGGTAGCTTCTTGGTGGAGTTTTTTGGGTCTTCCAAGTAAAATATCATGTCATCTGCAAATAATGATAATTTAACTTCTTCTTTACCTATTCTTATTCCTTTTATTACTTTGTCTTCTTGAATCGCTCTAGCTAATGATTCCAAGAGTATATTGGATAGGAGTGGTGATAGAGGACACACTTAAATTGTATCAGATCTGAGAATAAAAGATTTCAATTTTTCCCTGTTTAGAATTATGGTTGCCATTGGGTTGTCATTGATGGCTTTTACCAGATGGAAGTAGACGCTTCCATTCCAATTATCTGTAGAACTTTGAACATGAATGAGTGTTGGGCGTGGCCACAGGCCTTTTCTAGGTAGGTGCTTTAGACCACTGAGCCATCTCACCAGCCCCACAGGCCTTTTCTGCATCAACTGAGAGTTCACAGATAGAACTTTCCCTCTGTGAACTTATCCAATCATATTCCATAAGTTCTGATAAGCTGTTCTCAAAATTTCATTGAATTGTAGATGTTGTTAGATTTCTTGTTTAATTTCATCTGTGACCCATTGGTTGCTGAGTAGGGTGTTGTTTAATTTCTATGTATTTATTAGGTTTTTCTGTTTTCTTGTCTCATTTATTTCCAGTTTCATTGCACTATGGTCAGATAATATGCATAGGATAATTTCTGTTTTCTTATATATACTTAAGCATGACCTATGGACCAGCATGTTGTCTATATTAGAGAATGACTCATGTGCAGCACAAAAAAAGGTATATTTATCTGTTCTTTGGTGGAACACTTTGTATATGTACACTAAGTCTATCTGTTCCAAGCTCTGGTTCAGTTTTGCTAATTCTTTGCTAACTTTTTGTGTGCTTGATCTATTTTTGGGGCATTAGGGGATTTTAAAGTTTCCTGCTAAGATTGTTATATTTTGTATTAGATTTTTCTTGTCCATTAAGATTCGTCTTATATAGTTATATACACCCATGTTTGGTGTGTATACATTTATGAGTGCTATCTCTTCCTCTTGAACTTTTCCCCTAACCAGTATATAGTGACCTCTTTATTTTGTTCGAGCATTCTTGGTTTGAAGTTGAGACTGTCTGTGACAGGATTGCTACCTCTGGTTTTTTCTGAGGTGCTGGGATATGTAGTTTTGTTTTCCATCCTTTGAATTTAAGCCTACAAATTTCTTTTTGCATTAATTGTGCTTCTTGTATGCAGCATATCATTGGATTCTGTTTAGTAATCCACTGTGACAGTGTTTTTCTTTTAATTGGTGAATAGAGTCCATTTACATTGATGGTCATAATTGAGATATATTGATTTATGATCCACAAGTTATTTTCCTGCTGCTGTTTACTCCTTTTTTTCCTGTGTTTAATTGTTTGCCCTATTTAGTTGGCTCCTTCTCTTCTTGTTCATGGAGTTCTAATCATTTTTGTTCCACTGTACAACATCTTTTAGTAGCCTGTGTAGGGTTGGCTTAGTCATCATGAAATTCTTTAGTTGTTCTTTGTCATGGAAGTATTTCACTTCTCCATAAAACTGGAAAAAGTTTTTCAGGTTATAGTAGTCTGGGCTGGAATTTGTTTTCATAGAGGACTGAAATACTCTGCTCTATGCTCTTCTTGCCTTCATGATTTGTGAGGAAATGTCTGGTGTTATTCTGATGGGTTTTCCTTTAAATGTGATCTGTTTCTTTTCTCTAGCAGCTTTCAGTATACTGTTCTTATGCTGGATTTCTGGGATCTTGACTATTATACGTCTCGGTGTGTTTTTAAATGGGTTGAAGTTATTTTGAGTGCTGTAGTTTTCAGTTTCCTGAATGTCAGCTTACTTCCTCATATTTGGGAAGTTTTCTGTTATCACTTCTGCCATATTCTTTTTATATGATTTGTATTGACTCCTTTCTCATTGAAGCCTATTATTCTGACTTTGTTCATTTTTGCATCATCTTGCAGGTGATGAATTATTTTTAGTTGTTTTTAAGAGATCTTTTCTTACTTTTTACCAGCTGTGACAGTGTCTTCAAGATCTAAAACTCTATGTTTATTTTCACTCACATGGTTTTGCAAGCTTGTGATTGAAATTTTAATTTCTTCTGTATCTCTTTTACTATGCTTAATGCGATCTATTTCTTTCCTGTATTTCTCACTCAAGGAATCCTTTGCTTTTCTACTCTTTTTTTTTTTAAATCAGTGTCTTTTTGAGAAACAGTTATTATTTTTTTTTACTTCAGAGATTATTTCTGACCTAATTTCCTCTGTATGTTTCTCCATATGATTGTTTATTTCAAATGCTTTTAATTCAGAGAATTCTTGAGATTAATTCTTATCTGAGTTCCTCTTTACCTTTCTTTTGTTGTTTCTTTTCTTATGCTATAATTGAGAGATTACTTTTTTTATTTCAGAGATTACTTCTGATGTGAGTTCCTGTATACCTTTCTGCTATTATTTCTTTTCTTCTGATGCTAGTAATTCTGAGATTACTTTTTTATTTCAGAGATTCATTCTGATTTTTGTTCCTCTATACCTTTCTGCTATTGGTTCTATACTTCAGAAGCTGTTAATTCATCCATTTCAGCTGATCTAGTGCCCTCTGCATTTGTTCTGGGTGGGCTTGAGTTCTGATATTGCATTTTGCTCCTTTTCTTTGTCATTTTGTATAGCACTAAACTCTGATCTTTGGTATAGAAATTTGGTGCAGTTACAACCTTCGCACTTACTGAAATTTAAGTGCTGATGTATTAAGTTTGAGTTTATCTATTTATGCCTGGTTTGGGTCTAGCTGTTGTGCTCAGCTCCTTCCTGCTGCAGCCTTTGAAATGACCCTGTTGTGCCCCTCTGGCACAACAGTGAACCTGTTGTGCCCCTTTATTGTGCCCCTGCCTCAGTGGGCATAGGGGAGTGCAGAAGCTCCCACACACACTAGCAGGGCCTGTGTTTGGACTGGGTCTGTGGGGGTCCCAAGAGCTTGGCAGAAGTTTTCATTCACTTGGTGGGACTCAGAGATGGGCTCCAGAGGGGTGGAGGTTTCCTGAGGCAGAGGCAGAGGGTCTCACTCAGGCAGCCTGCCTTGGTTTGGTGCGGAGATATCTCAGCGGGTTCAGGGGGGCTCCGGAAGGGCCCTAAGGGTGTGATAGAGGGTCTTACTCACGTGGTGTGCCGGGGTTTGTTCGTGAGGTCTTGCAGGCACAGGGGAGCTGGAGGCTGTCCCACACACTTGCAGGGCCTGGGCTTGGGCTGGATGTGGGGGTTCGCAAATGTGCAACAGAAATTCGCACTCAATTGGTGGGTTTGCAGGATGGCTCTGGAGGGGTTCCGAGGCCTGGGCAGAGGGTCTCACTCATGCAGCATGCCTGGGTTTGGTCCAGAGGTCCTGGGAGTGCATGAAAGCAGGAAGCTCTCCCACACATTCGAGGAGTCTGGATTGGGCTTATATGTAGTTTTCACCAGCCCTTTTATTTGGCACTGGATGCTCCACCATACCTAATTATACTGTGAATCCTACTTCTCATTTTAGAACTGTGAAAGTAAACCTTACTGGCATGAAAATGTTTCACAATGATCACTCATTGATGAATTATCCTTTAGAAAATCTGCATTTGTGACCCTAGCTTTGTCACAAATTATGGACTCAAATAGGCTATAACCTCCCATCTGCCTTTCATTTAGCTATACTAATAATAGACTTTCTACCTCATCTAACACTGTAGATTGCAATATTAATTTGAGCAACACCTTTAGTAACATTAGTTTTCTTATACACGTCTTTTGTCTATAAAATTGTTGAGATAGTGGATTTAAACTTGTAAATATTTGTGAGAGGGCTGGGGAGATGGCTCAATAGAACTTCCCTAGCAAGCACAAGGGTCTGAGTTCAATCCCAGGTTACACTAAAAAGAAAAAATAATTGTGAGATCAGTCATGAATGCCACTCTTATATTTCTCCACAATTTTATTTTTTTTTAACTGTGATTTCTTTCTTTACCTTTTCTTCCTTCCTTAAATTTTTTATTACCTTTTCTGGAGCAACTTTAATGGAAGTAATTGTAGTGATTATATAAAACACTTATCCGATTCATGTCCACAAACACATTCATCTGGGTTCACACTGGTGCCTAAATTTCTTACATACACATTTCTGGCATCACAAATCTGTACAAGTGACTGGCACTTGCATTGTGCCTGAAGATTTTGATCATAAGTTAAATCTAAAATTCTGGTAAAACCTAAAGTGTTTTATGTGAGGCCAATTGCAACACTCAGTATCCATTGTAAGGAGAATAAGCAAACATTTTATTTCAAGCCTCGTTCAGAATAGGTGCTCAGTAATTTTTTTTGCTAAATCAATGTTTGAATGAATGTTTTCATTATCTTATTTTGATTCAGTTTAGATAACAAATATAAGGAATTCAAAATTCATGATGTAGTGTTAATATGTTTGTAAAACCTTATAAAGGTATTTTAATGTATTTTTTCTTTTTTGATAATTTGTTGGCAATTTAGTTGTTAATTGTCAATGTTCTTGTTCAATTATTGTAGGTCCCCATGAAATTAAGCAGACATGTTCTTGTTCAACCAGAAAAAGCCATTGTTCTGAAGGTTGTGCCAAGAGATGTGATCATAAGTGAAGAATGATCTTCCTGTTGGATTTCTGCTTTGTACTTAAAGGAGGTTGTGTACCAAAACACCTGAGAACAATTTGCTTTCCATTAAAATTTACATGAAAATAGGCTTTGTGTATTATCCTTGGGGAATGATTATACGTTTGTTACAATCATGAAGCTTATTTACCCGGTTGAATATTACTTAATATTTAATGTAAAGGAGACGAATGAACTAGTGAAAAATATGTAAGGTGATTATCTCTGATTATTGTAAGACTCCATCAGTGAAGTCTGGTTGAATAAATATTTCCCAAAAATTTAATCAATGATTTTTAATAAAATGGGAATTATTATGATGACTCTAGTACTCAAATTTATACAAAATTTTTTCTTTATAATATTCAACAAGAAGTGTAATGAGAGTATAAATAAATTATTTAAAAATAGGCAACATCTTTATGTGTATGAGGAAAGAAGCTAGAGGAATGGCTCAATGAGAAGCAGAAACCATTCTTTTTTCTAGTCTACTAGTTTTCTTTTTCTTTTGGATTTTTTAATTAATTTCATTGAGAAACAAATATCAGTGAGACAGTTTCAAAACACGTTAGTAGGACAGTTACAAAAATTAATGTATTGCATATTGTTGTCTTTATAGTAGTTATTCATAGTTCAAGATGAAGATACGATATCTTGTCTAAACACTATTAATACAAATCTTTCCTCTCATTGGACTTAGAGAAAGTGCTGTACATCTATCCTAACTAACTCATATATGCAGAATATATATTCACTACACAATGGTACTTCATTTTTATCCCCTTTTTATGTTTAGGTTAGTCACACATGGGTATTCCACTGCCATTCTAATATTGTAGGTGCATGAATTCAGCAAAATAATCAAATATAGTCCAATAGATCATGATAGTAGTGGGTTATCCTCAGGACTGTCAATGTCAGAGGTTGTTGACTTGAGACTTTTACAGCTCAGCATATTAATATGGCCTTACTTTTTTAACCTCCTGTTAACAGTTTTCTGCTGGATGGTTAAGCCCAAGACAAAGCCAATCTTATATAACAAAAAATGTAACTTTTGTATTTGACAAGGTCAGTCAAATCCCTTCAGTATTTACCTTGAAATGATATACAGCAGTTTGTAGATCTTTAGTCAGTGTCAGCCATATTGATGAGTTACGGCCCTTGCTTGATCAATTTGCTTTTTGTGAAAGCCTGAGAGAATGATTTCTTTCTAGGTAATTGCTCTTAGGCACACTCTACATTGTTGATTATTTTCATCTGTGGCCCCATAATCTTATTGAACACAAAATTTGGGAAACTACTGAGCTACAGGATGTTACAGTACAGGTTCTCTTATGTTGTGAGAACTCACTGACTTTGAAGGGCTCAGGTCACTAGCTGGTTATCTTTTTCTCTAATTTTTCATCTGCAAACATAACTTGTTAATCCTCAAGAAGAGAGAGTTAATAATATTATTGGAGTATAACATAGGCTGATGAGCTTAACATCAATATCAGGCACCTTAGATATAACATGGGACAGGTGTTTTCCAACAATCATTGATAGACTAAATTTTAAAACCCTAACAAATGTGAAAAAAATAATAAAATATACAATTTCATATTTTTACACAGAAATTAAGTACTATAACCATATACAAAATTGTAGCAGGGCAGTTCTTGACCTTTTTTCTTGTCTCTTGTTTTCTTTTGTTGCACTTTTTTTTTAAAACAAACATTTACCGAAGAGAGAATAGAACTAATTGATTTGAAATTAGAAGCAGTATGCATTTAGGGCATGTTTTCTAGCTTTGCTCCCTGCCCTGTCTTCATTGTTTAATCCTTACATTCTCACTTTGCACTTAGTTTTGATATACCTTCCAATTTTTATTTCTTCATTTGAGTTCTCACACTAGGGAAACTATATGATATTTACACATGTCAGTCTAGTTTATTTCACTTATGAGTATATCTTCAATTTTCACTGAGTTATTTATGAAGGCTTCAAGCTGATGATTCTTTATAAATGAGTAATATTTCATTGTATAAAAACATCCCAACTGTTTCATCCATTCCTAAGGTGATGGGTATTTTGTTTGCTTCCAAGATTAGGATTTAACAAATTTTGCTGCTATAAATATAGGTGCATATATATCATTATGATATGATTGTTTCAGTTCCTCTGGGAAAATTCCCAGTAGGGGGCTATCTGGATCAAATAGGATTACCAGTCCTACTTTTTAAATGACTCTTCACACTGATTTCCATAATGGTTGCAACAGTCTACATTCCCAACAGCAGTGGAGAGGAGTTCTTTTTCCCCACAGTCTCTTCCACATTTATTGTTGGTTGATTTCTTTATGATAGCCATTCTTTCTGGAGTGAGATGGTATCTCAGTGCTCTTTTAAGTTTCATTTCGCAGATGGCTAGTGATGTGGAGCATTTTTTCATATATTTTTCAGATTATAGAATTTCTTCCTCTCAGAACTGTGTGCCCATCATGGATTTCCATTTCTGTATTGGCCCTTTCAATTTTGTGGCCATAATGTTTTCTTAATTCTGTGTAGATTCTAGAGAGACTTTTGACTGAATGTTTATTAGGTAAGACTTTTTCCAAATTAGTGGGTTGTCTTTTCACTTTGTTGGAAATTTCTTTTGATGTGGAAAAACTTCCTAATAAGAGGAAGTCCCAGTTATTGATTTTTTTTTCAAATATTACCTGTGTAGTTTGATTAATGTTAGAGAAATGTTTGCCTATACCTGTTTTCAAGATTACCACCTACCTTCTCTTCCAGGATATTGAGAATTTCTGTTTTAATGTTTAGAACTTTAATCCATTTTGACTTTAGCTTAGTGCCTGGTGATGGACCTGAGTCAAATTTTAGTTTTAGACATGTAGAGAGCCAGTTTTTCCAACACCATTTGTGAAAAAATCTATATATCTTCCAGAAGAATGTTTGGCCCCTTAGTTGAAGATAACATGGCTGAGTGTGTTTATAGTTGCTTCTGCTATTGATATAGTGCATTACATTTATAGATTTGTGTATATTGAACCATTCTTGCATGCCTGGGATAAATCCTACTTCATCATGGTATATAATCTTGATGATTTGCTGTATTCTATTTGGTAGGATTTTACTGAGGAGTTTTGTGTCTATGTTTGTGGTGGAGAGTGGCCTGTAGTTCTCTTTTTTGTTCCATATTTCCCTGATTTTGGTATCAGTATAATACTTACTTCCAAGAACGATTTTGGTAGCACTGCTTCCTTTTCAATTTCATTGAAGATTTTAAGGAGTATTGAGGTTATATCATCTGTAAATTTCTTGTAGAGTTCAGCTGTGAATTTATCAGGCCCTGGCCTTTTTCTTTGTTGATAGGTTTTTAAATACATTTCATATTTCATTGGCTGTTATTGGGTTATTGAGAAATCTTATATCTTCTTGATTCACTTTGGTAATTTGTGAATTACCAAAAGTACGTTTCTAGGAATTTGTCCATTTCTTCTGTGTATTCTATTCTGTGAGAATAAAGATTTTCAAAGTAGCTATCAATGATATTTTGAAGTTCCACTGAGTCTCTGGTAATTTCACCTTTTTCATGCTTTCTTGACTGTATTTGAGTTTTTTCTCTGTGCTTCTTGATGAGATTAGTTAGGGGCTTATCAACTTTATTTAATCTTTCAAGGAACTAGATTTTTAATTCATTAATTCTTTGAATTGTTATGTTCTTGGTTTATAAATTTTATTGAGAAACAAATAGCAATGAAGAGTTTCAAAACAGGTTAGAAGGACAGTAACAATAATTAACACATTTCATACTTGTCTGTGTGCTAATTATTCATAGTACAAGATGCACATATAATATTCTGTCCAAACACTGCTAGAAAAAAATTTCTTCTCATTGAATTAAGAAAAAGTAGCTATATATCTATACTAACTACTTTGTATATACAGATACAAAATGATCTTTCGTTTATATCCCCTTTTTGTTTAGTTTTGTCAGAGGTGGGCATTCCATTGCCATTTAAATATTGCAACTGCATGAATTCAGCGAAATAATCCAATATACTTCACTGGTCAATAATAGTATTGGTTAATCCATAGGACTGGCAATGTCAGAAGTTGTTGACTTCAACCTTTTACAGCTCAGCATATTAATATGGTTTCATTATTTATATTTTGTATTTATACATTTCTGCTGGATGGTTTATACTGAAAAAAGCAAGACCCATACAACAAGATATGTAATATCTTTATTTGACAAGACCAGTCAAATTCCTTCATGATTTATCCCTAAACCCTGTACGGCAGTTTGTAGATTCTTTGTCAGTGTCAGCCACATGGAGGAGTCACAGCGATTGTTTGACCAATTTGTTCTCTGTGAAACCCTGAGAGAATGATTTCTCTCCATGTGTGTCTTCATAGGCCCACTCTACATCACCGACCACTTTCCCCTGTGGCCTCATAATCTCCTTCATCAGAAAATATGCAATATCTCTGAATTATAGGATTTTATATTACAGGTTTCCTTATGTTGTGAGTCCTCACTGAACTTGAAACTCTAGGGCCAAAATGTCAGCTGGCCTTGCAGCCCTTCTTTTTCTCCAATATTTGGTCTGCAAATTTAAGTTGTTAACCCTCCAGAAGAGAAACATAATGATATTATTATCCTACTTTATAAGCAGCAGAGTTTAACCTCACTAATTTTCTGAATATCAAATATCTTAGGCATAACATGAAACAAGTATTTTCCATCAATTGTGGATATGTCAAACTTTAAACCACTAAAGAATGTGAGGAAAAAAATAAATAAAAAATGTTAAAAACAATAGGAATAATCAATTCTATAGTTTTATGAAAACATAGAATTATAACCATATATAGCATTGTACCTGAACAGTACTGTGACATTTTTTCCTTGTCTCATGTTTTCATTTACTATCCTTTTTTTGAACAAACGTTTATTTGAGAGAGAGTGTATCACTAATTGATATGACATTACAAGTGCCACATATTTAGAAGACCAAAATGACAGGCATTCCAAGCATGGCTCATATATTGTAAATTACTATTTTCAGAGCACTTGTTTAGTACCCAGGTATCAGCATATATAGTCAGGCTGACAGTTCTACCAATTAACTGGTCATTTAAAAAAACTGCTGAATTAAAATGCCTACATTGTAGGGAACAATAATTAGTTTCTCTTCTGGAGGGTTAAAGCATAAGATTGCA